TTGGTATTTCCTGATTTCCGCTCCTGCCCTCCCTTTAATCCACCTGTCTGCTTGCTTTCTATTTTGACATTTCCCTACACAATATTAACAACAGATGCTACATTATTGTCTGAATTCAACCAATTATACTACAGAAGAATAAACAACAGTAGCTCATTACTCCATTCATAGGGCAGACAATATCTGCTCCTCAGTGTAAGCAGTCTCCAGGGCTTTTCCCCAGAATGAAAAACAGACCTTGGATATACCACACTATATGGAAAACAATGAAGGTTTATTAGGTAAGTTAGCAACCTTGATATCTGAATACCCATCAGTTTTACTGGCAAAAAGAATAAAAATATACCAGTGGTCCAGTTCCAAACACACTGGCTAAAAGGCCTCATGTAAGCAAACACTGTTGTAAAATAATGACATAAAGGACACATACACTCAAACAACAGTCAAAGTAAACATCATTGTTAAACTTCAATTTGGTTTGCTCAACAAATATAGTTTTTTATTTGCATTATTTTAGGTTTGTGATAAAATAAGGAAATCTGCTATAAGAAAATATGAATTGATGTTGGACTTATTTGTTTCTACACAATTTCATTTTTTAAAAACAAAAGATAATGTATACTTACACCAATCTCTTACAATAAGAATCAAAGATTGGCTTGATTTACTTACACATAAACATGTATAAACACACCCCCCCCACACACCCACCCACCCACTCCACTATTCTCTTTGCTTCTACAGCTACATACCAAATAACAGTTTATAGACCCAGTTTTTCTAGGGTTAAATAGGCTAAAACTAACATTCATTAATTCCATGAATTCTTAGTGAGCACTTTCCTTGAGTTAGGCATTATTCTAGATGATGGGAAAATAGCAGTGAATGAAATAGATAAAAAAAAATCTGCTTAAATGGAGTTTATATTCTAGTAGGATGGGGAGAAAGACAGCAAAAACACATACGGGAAAGACTCATCACAGTGATGAGTACTATGGGGGGAGAGCAGGGAACGCTGGGAGAAGAGAGAGGTGGGTACACTTTTTAAATACTGTAAATCTCAGTAAGTAAAAAGTCCTAAAGGGGACAGAGAGCCACATGGACATTTAGACCTAGAAGTGTAATAATAAGCAGGAGTCACAAGTGCCAAAGCCTTGGTCCTGTTCCTAAGCTGTTTGAAAAACGGCAGGACAGTCAATGTGGCTGGAATGGAATGAGTGAGGGGAGAAGAAGAACTGTTGAAGTTAAAGAGGAAATACAGGAGTGGTTAGATTTTTATATGGCCCTGAGAAGGCTGCTCAATGATTTTTTTTTCCATTGTAAAATTAGGGTATAATTTACATATATAATTCTACAAGTCACATCCTCAGTCCTTTAAAAACAACAACAACAACAACAACAACAACATTTTCTTAAGAGACAGGGTCTCACAAAGTTGCCTTGCTAAATTACTGAGGCTAGTTTTGAGCTCGTTATTCTTCTGCCTTAGTCTTCCAAACTGCTGGGATTATAGGCTTGCCCCATAGTGTCTGGCTAACATAGTATCTTTTCTGATAGTTATATTATATTTAGACAGTAAAAAACATTCCAAGGGCTTGACTGACTTATACATAACATAATGTGAGTTAAATAAATATCCACAGCAGTTGATTTAATGTTTGCATGTAGAATAAGATTGATAAATATCTGCTGAACGCTCACTGAATCAAAGAACTGAGAGTCAAAATTTTAGCTGAAACTTTCTTTACTTGCCCAAAATTTGGTGGCAAAAAAAAAAAAAAAAAAAAAGTATTCAGGAAGGATTTCTTGGATGCTCTGTAGTTCATACATCGCACTACTTACTGTAAATTCCATTTCTTAAACTGGCCTACCATACATATATATTATTTGGGCCTTTACAAAGATGACTTTACTAAATTGTGCTCTGGCCTTATGACTTTATATTTTAAAAGGTATAAGCAGCTGTCAGACAGACTTGTTATTATAGCTATGGCTGGCAATACTATTCAAAGATCCTGAACAGACACCAACAAGAAACATTGCTTAGTGTTAGAAAAATCAAGAGATCTTCTGAGTTATCAGACTTTAATATTACACACGAAGTAAAACTTCTCAACTATCATATTTTCCTTTGTGTTGGCCCAAGAGAAGTATAGAACAAATTTTGTGGCTAATGTTGAATAAATGTACAGACCCTATTATATGCATCTGGCGCCTGGGTTAGATTATCTATTGTCAACATTTAGTCTTACCATTCACTTTCACTTCCTTTAACTTCCTTTTAGCTTTTCTTTACCCTCACTTCTATATCTATTCTTCTTTTTTAAATCCCTTTGAATTGCATATATTTATATTTGTTACTTGAAACTGATTTTGGAAGGAATTAAAGTAAATATATAAATGAGTAAAAGAGAAAAGATTTTTGCTGTAATTTCTTTGTTTTTCCTTTGAATTAGTTTAGAGCTTTTCCCTTATGGCTAACAACCAGATCAAGAAAGCTTTCTACATTTTACTAACTACAATCCAAAAGTTACCATACAGCAAAATGAGGCTGATCACTTAGTAATTTCCCTGGGACTACAGTGGTTTGACTATTCAATACTTCATTTATCTAAAGGACTTTGAAATACTGGAGATCATGATAGGCAAGTGCTCTACCACTGAGCTGTAACCCCAGTCCTCAAAAGTTTCTTTCTTTTTTTTTTTTTTAAAGAGAGAGAGAGAGAATTTTAATATTTTTATTTTTTATTTTTCGGCAGACACAACATCTTTGTATGTGGTGCTGAGCATCGAACACAGGCTGCACGCATGCCAGGAGAGCGTGCTACCGCTTGAGCCACATCCCCAGCCCCTCAAAAGTTTCTTAACGACAGGACTTACAACAGCCTTTAATTGTGACTCCTGGGTGAGGGATGGCAGAGTACACAGTATTATTCAAACTTGCACTGGATTTTGGAGCATTTTAGATTTTCAGGTTAGGGAGGTTCAACCCATACAGAGTTTATGTAAGTCCATCAGAAGAAAGTACATATATTACCAGGCTCTAAATTCAGAATGTAAAGTTAATTGTGTACTCTTGACATTTTAGCCAGTTAGTATACTTGAAGATATACTAGTAAGAGAGAGTGAGCATGTGTGAAACAGAGCACAAAGGAGCAGGAATCCTATTTTTAATCTATATTTCCTGGAATACAGCCTAAAAGGATAATGACCAATCTCTTCCTTATCTAAAGTTGCACGAAACTCTACATATATAACTCCTACAGACACATATTATGATTTATGGCCTTGGACTGAAAATGTAGTGTGAGAAAGAGCTTGAGTTGTAGTCATAAAGACCTAGGTGTCTACATGTGTAATTCAATGAGCTTCAGTTTTCTCATTTTTTTGGAGAATTTCTAACTTTGTATTTGTTTTAATGGTTAATGAATAACTGTATGCAAAGCAGCTTGCAGAGTTTGATACACAAAAGAGGCTCAACAAAATATTTTTAGCCCTCAGAGCACAGAAACTAGGGTTTGTAGGCATGGCATCTTGTACATATGTGTTAAGTATTAAATAAGTTTTCATTTCCAAACAGTGACATTTCATCATCTTTTAAGACCAGGCTCAAATTACTCCTTCCATTTGTTGTCTGATTATCAAAGCTGTAAAGGATTTTTCTTATGCCCTTGAAATCCCCAGGTATTTTGCTTTTGCATATCCTGTATCATTTAGCATACTTTCTCCTTGATTTGCTATTACTTGTAGACATGTTGTATCTTCTGTACAAGAATATAATCTGCCCTTTTTTGTTTTTTGTATTGAGGATTGACTGAACCCAGGGGCTCTTTATCACTGAGCCACATCCCCAGCCCTTTTTATTTTGAGATAGGGGTTCACTAAATTGCTGAGCCTGGTTTTGAACTTGTGATCCTTCTGCTTCAGCCTCCCAAGTTACTGGGATTACAGGCATGTGCTACTGTGCTTAGCTTGTAATCTGGTTTTGTAGGTAGAAAACATTTTATTATCCTGTTCAAAAAAAAAAGTGAGAGGGCTGGGGATGTGGCTCAAGCGGTAGCGCGCTCGCCTGGCATGTGCGGGGCGCTGGGTTCTATCCTCAGCACCACATAAAAATAAAAATAAAGATGTTGTGTCCACCGAAAACTAAAAAATAAAATTAAAAAATTCTCTCTTTCTCTCTCTCTTAAAAAAAAAAAATGAGATAGGTTAAAAAAAAAAGAGAATAAATGAAGTGATGTAGCATCCTTTGACCAAGAATGATGACTAATGGGATTTTCCTCAGCCCCAGTTAGGGATCTCCAATTTTTTCCAAAATTGATTTGATGGCTTCCTCTTTTTATAAATGAATCTTGAATTAATCTCATGTCCAGAAAAAAGTTTTGAAAATCCCTTTCTGTAAAGCTATTTTAGGGTCATTTGACACCCTTCTTTTTGTTCTGACTGCACTTGGGTCTAAATCTATCATAACTTTTACAAATAGTACTATAATTCTTTTTATAAGACTATGAACTCCTGAAGGGCAGAACCCATGTCTGCATCACTATCCTCTAAGTATTGAGTATTCAAAAAATGTTTCCAAAACAAGTGAATATAAAATTCTCTACATTGATGCAGACATAAACTCAAAGTAAAAAAAATATCAGCCAAACACATCTGCAAGATGCTGCATAAGTAACTCGCAATATCTTTTGATAGGTAACATCAAATACAGGGAAGGAAAAAAAATACAGTCTTTATGTTATTGGAGTGAGACAGTATCCAGGAAGGATGGGAAGCATCTGTTAGGTAACAAAAGGGAAACAGAATTGAAGATAATAGAAAACCATAAATCTAGTATGTGAACAGATATAAAGATCAGGAATAAAGAAAGGTCTTTCATTCTAAAATAAGTCTGAAAAGGCAGAAAGAAATAAGTTGTAAGAAATGTTAACAGCCTTAGTATCAAATACAGTAATACAACCCAGCTTTGAATAATTTTTCTTAAAATTATGCCGCACCTCACGTTCCTCTTCTTGCTCTTTGCGAATCTGCTCCAAACGAAACTGTTCTGCCATCTCTCTCTCATGAGCTTCCCTCTGTTGATAAAATAGATGGGGAGCAAGCATGTAATATATGTATATGTATATGTGTGTGTGTGTGTGTGTGTGTATGTATATATATATATATATATATATATATATATATATATATATATATATATATAAAATATTCTTTTTTTTAATAAATAAAATTTTATTTATTGGAGATTGAACCCAGGGCCTCATACAAGCTAGGCAAGTGCTCTACCATTAAACTACATCTATAGCCCTTTCTGATTTTTATTTTGAGTCATGGTCTCATTAAATTGCCCAAGCTAGCCTTGAATTTATAATCCTCTTGACTCATCCTCCAGACTATCTGTGATTACAGGCATGCTTCACTGTGCCTGGCTAATATTTGTTTACCTTAAACAAGGAAAAAACCAAAACCAAAACAAAACTCAAAGGCCTTATTTAACAAAATTCAGAGGTACACAGTGGTAATAGCAGTGCTTCTCTCCAGAATAAGAACAGATATAAAAGGTTCCTACTGTAATGCTTTGAGCACTTTGGGTAATGTGTCATTCAAGATCCTTCCTTCCTCTCTTTCATCTTCCTTTATGGCCTTTTCTGATCTCTCTCCTGTCACCAGATCTTTCTTTTTTTCTACATTTTTTAAAAAATTGGTACATTATAGTTATACACAATGATGGGATTTGTTGTTACCTATTTGTACATGTACACAGTGTAATGATATAATTTGGCCAGTATCACTCCTCGCAACCCATCTCTCACCTCTGGGTCCCTTTCTTCTACTGGTCTCTCTTTGATTTTCATGAGCTCTGTCTCTACTTTCTTTCCCTTTCTCCTCTTTAGCTTCCACATATGAGAGAAAACACGCGACCCTTGACTTTCTGAGTTTGTCCCCAAATCTTGAACTCTAGTCATATCAGCCTTTATCCATTGTGTATGCTTTCTGGGTTCTAGCTTATATTATTTCTTCTTTCCCTGTATAGTTACTTGTATCACTTCTATGAAATATTCCAGAGAACATTCTCATTTTCTGGTTATCCAAAAAGGTTGGGAAAATTTTTCCAATGAAACTCCTGCTCAATGAATGAACTCTCTCAAAACTCAGTGCTTCTCTTATGGCACTTAGGATCCTTGTTTTATGTTACAGCTATTAGTGTTATTGTGTTATTGACTTAATCTAATCAACCACATTTATCAGTATTCCTTTGAGGGCAGAAACTATGGCTTATACATTTTCCACTCCATTTTCAAAACCCAATACAGTAGCAGGTCCTGAAGAAGAAAATCAAATTTTTGATTTTTTTTCTAAGATTAAACAAATCAGTGTCATTAACAGTGACTACACATTAGAATCACCTAGAGTTATTATTTTTTTTAAACTGTTAGGCTGTATGACAGACCAATAAATAATAAATAAAATACTGTAGGCTCATTCTTATTGTTATTTTTATGATTCTGGCAAACTTTATTTTGTCTAAATGAACCATGCTTTAAGGATTATGGATAGAATTATATTTTCTCTTTATTAAATCTAGCTCTCCCTATTGTAAATCCAATATTTTGGCGGATAAAAGTAATAAAAGGGCTGATATTCAGATAATCAAAGACCAGAAGTATATCTATATTCTAGAAGTACCTTGACAAAACCTACCTTTGCTCTGTCAGCCTCAAGTGAAAGGCGATAGGCCTCATCTTGCTCTCTCTTCACATTTTCTCTGGCTTCACGTTCATCCTTAAAAGAAAGAAAAAAGAGTCAACTGAGTTTTTATATTTTTTTAAAGGAAAAAACTGATGTTAACCCCTTGTATTATTTCTGCATGAATTTATTATTAAATAAGGAATGTTTTAGGTGTACCAGACATAAATAAACAATGAGTAATATGGTAATAAATAGTAAAGATGTTTAAATTCTAGCTCTGCTACTTATAAACTGTGTGACCTGTGTAAGTTATTTAACCTTTCTAGATCTCTGTATTCCTTAATTGTAAAATAGACATAATATTTGTCTTCTAGGGTTATTGTGAGAATTAAATGCAACAATATGAAATTGTCTAGCAAAGCATCTGGCACTAGTTCATTTGCACAATTATTAGTTCCTTTTTGCCCTTATTTTGATTTTTTTCTAAGATTAATTTAGAGACTGTTCATCAGTGGGACTAAGGACTGGGAAGAATGAAAGTAAAATATGCTTGTTATGTTAACCTCATTCAACACCTCAGCACTAAAACTTTGCTCATCAAGTAAGTATTTTACCACTACATTTATATTCATGAAGTGCAAGTAGCAGAAGTTACCTAAGTTCGAAAACCTTGTTCAATATTTTAGCTTCTGAAGTGAGTATACCATCTGCTTATATTTAAATCATGATTTCATATGAAATTAAAATTTAATTCACTAACAGAATTTCTCATTTGTAAAGCTCAGCAGTGTAGCCAATAATATACTTGTACTCAAACTTAATAAATACCCACACCTGTCCACATTAGTGTTGGTTCCCTTTAGTCATTGTGTATTAGGTTGAACCATGTAAAGTCATCAATATTTGAATATTTTTGACCTATAAAACTGGAAATTTGTCGGGCACAATGGCACTTCGGAGGCTAAGGCAGGCAGAGGACAAGTTCTAGTCCAGTCTAGGCAATTTAGTGAGGCCCTGTCTCAAAATAAAAGCTCTGTTAAGAATTGTAATATTTCACTGATTCTCAGTCTTTCAAACAAAAAATCAGGAAGAATTAGATGTTGCTAACCTGAAGCTGAGTGTTATACTATATATGATGAAAGGGTATAAGGGTATATTGGGGAAATTATATTTGGTAATAAAATATCCAGAACCATGTTTAACCTTAGAGATCACTCAGGCTACAAAGCAGTCAGAACAATTTATATGTCAAATAATATACATGAATAAAAATGAATTTTAAAAGCATCTTATTAGAGACATATTTAGCACTTAGTATTTACATTTTAAAGTTGTAGGAGCATTTTTCTTTAAGTACATTTCACTAATTTCAACTGATTATCTTTCATTTGGGTCTATTAACCAAGGTTTTACTATGACTAGATACAATCAAACTGCTAAGGAATATTTTTGTTTTTCTGTGTTTATCTGTATTTGCCTAATGTATTACTCTATGAACTCATTTCCCCACCCCAAACACAATTTATATAGAGTGGCTCCTTAGTAGTTCATTTGACCATTGTTGATCTATATTTGATAATTATTTTCAGGTAATAGAAGAGAGAAGACTAGCAGACCTGTGTTTTGAGTTCTAGCCCTGCCAGTAGCAAGCTATGTGTTTGGGGGTAAATATTGTCTTTCTTTTTAGACATCTATTAAAATAAAGAATTGAACTTCTAAGGATCCTCTGCCTTTATGGATAATGCATCTTTTCAAATTAATCTATCTCTAGAATACAATCAACAAATTATGAAAGTAATCTTACCTTTCTATATTTAAATGGGGAAATATTTAAGATGCTTAAAATTTTAATTTGACTTTACTTTTCTGACCTAAGACTTTTCAAATTGGTTTAGGTTTATCTCAGAACACATTTTCTGCTTTTCCTTTAAAGCATTTATCACAATTGCAATTAATTATCATATAATTATTTATTTAAGGTGTGTTTTCCCCATGATACTGTAATCTCCACAAATAGAAATCATCTATATTATATACCTCTGTATTCCACACACAAATTGAATCAATCTACATACCCACCTACCTTTTTGGTGCTGGGGACTAAACCCAGGGCCTAGAGCATGCTAAAAATACACACTCTGCCAGTAAGCTATATCCTATCCCCAAGTGTAACAATGAATAAATGAATCATCTTTCCAGGCATAAAGTATCTATTGTTTGCAGTAAAATTTAAGGAGGAAAAAGATTCAGCTCATCCATAAAGTGGCCCCATCTGAGTCAATGCAATTGACTGGCTAGGCAGTAATGACTTGTTATGATACTATGTACATACAACAAAGGGATAAGCTATCACAGCTGGAAGCCATTTAAGCACAAATACAATTTATAATACAAGCATTCTAAGTAAACAGATTTGTTTTAAAACAGACTGTTGCAGATATTAAAGTCTGTTAAATATAAGATCTCTGCCCCAGAATGTGGCACCCATTGTGAGAGGGCTTCCTGACCAATTAACTTCCTTCCTGCCTACACTTCTTTTCTCCCTTCCTCTTCCCTTCCCTCTCAACAAATCCTTCTTGGACATGCCACCCCAGTCACACTTGTTATAAAGTCTACTGATCTATTGTTAAGTGTTCAGATTTTATGTTATTTTAAATACTACAACTACTTTGGAAATCAGTCTGGCAGTTTCTTAAAAAAGTTAACAACATATCGATCATATGACCTAGTCATTTCAGTATTAATTAGTTACCCAAGACAAATGAGTACACACGTTCATACAAAAATATGTACACAACAGACAAAACCTAGGAAATAATCCAACTGTTCATTGTGAAAGTTATCAGAATAAAAATAGTTTTGCTTGTAAAAACAAAACAATAAATAAATAAAAGCTGTGAGGTTATGAAGGAAGAGTTTCTCACACAATTGCCGATTAGTAATTACCAGAACCACATTAGTAATGCATTATTAATGCCAGAACCACAACCCTGCATAAAAGCTACTACAATTTTATTAAAAAAAAAATACTTTTGCAAGGATATCTGACCAGCTACTGTCTGTCAACCTCAGACTGGCATCCTCATTTTGAGCTAAGAAATTTCTCCTTGACCTAACCTTTTTGAATATGCTCAAAGGTTACTATGGCATATTTATTTTCATTGCAATTCAATTCCCCAATAAAAATTAATAAATTTTCAGAGAATCTCTTTCTGATTTACTTAATTGATACCATCAACAGGTGAACATTTAAAAAAGCCCTGAGTACATAAATATAAAAACTAATATTTTTAGGGTACTGGGGATTGAATTCGAGGGTGATTTATCACTGTACATCCCCAGCTCTTTATTTTTTGAGAAAAAGTCTCACTAAACTACCAAGGTTGGCCTTGAACTTGTGATTTTCCTGCCTCAGTATCCCAAGAGGCTGTACTGTATCTGGCAAAAATATGAACACTACTGAAAGCAACATTAGGGGCTTTTGTCAAACTATTCCTTGTTCAGAGCAGATAGACACTGGAACCTCTGTCATAATACTATATAACAATTCCTCTTAATATGATTTCAGAGAATGGTAAGCCCTTTATTAGCTGCATTTACATACATTTTAAGCCAATTATAATAGGGTATGGTGTCCTCTAAATCCACTGAGTTAGAGACTGAAAGGAAGAGGCAAGATCAGAAATGAGAGACTTAGGTTCGAAGGTAGTCAACACAAAGCAGAATCAAGACCCAAGACAACAGCACTGAAATGCAGGGTTAAATCAATCTGCTCAACTTCATTCAAAAAACAGTGAAAACAGAGACAGAGAATAAACAACTAAGAACTGAAGCTACTGATTCTTAGCTTTGCCCTTTTCATTTTCTTAAATGAAGATGATGATATGGTGGTGGAGGTGGTTGCTATGGTCATGTAGCTGTCTCAGAGGTAGTGCACTTGCCTGGCATGTGTGGGGCACTGGGTTTGATTCGCAGCACCATATATAAATCAATGAATGAATGAACGAATAAATAAATAAGTAATAAAGGTCTATCAACAACTAAAAAATATTAAAAAAAAAAAAAAAGCAGGGCTGGGGATCTGGCTCCAATGTTAGCGCGCTCGTCTGGCAGCGTGCGGCCCAGGTTCGATCCTCAGCACCACATACAAACAAAGATGTTGTATGCGCCGAGAAACTAAAAAATAAATATTAAAATTCTCTCTCTCTCTGTCTCTTAAAAAAAAAAAAAGAGCAGACTGACAATCTTTCCATTGCATATTAGAAAAGTAAGGACTTTGGCATTCAGAGTTAATTACACAGAATCTGCCATGTCTATTTCAATGGTTGGTTGATGGGAACTCAGATCAGGCAGTAGTCTCATAAGTACAAATTTTAGTCATCATCATCAGCTATTGGGAGGCCAGACTTGCCTTATATGTTGGCAGCCTGGTTTTAAGATCCAGCTTCTTTAACAATGAATAAAGTACTAAATTGGAATACTGTATTTTAGAACAGAAGAATCTTCAAGCTTTCTTGTGTGTATATATGTGTGTTATGGACTAATCAGAAAGACAGATATGACACTGCAATTTGAGCTATTTGGCTATTTTTTCAATGTTTTTTTAAAAGGCATTTATGCAAAATTTAAAAATGCAAAAGTTTAATTATTCTTAAAGGCAACACTATTAATATAGTTAGGTGGTAGTTGATCAAAATTATGAATACCTTGAATGCCACTGAGTTGTATGCTTTACAACAGTTAACCATACATTATGTGAATTCCACTTGCATTAAAAAAATTTCCTAAAACCAAAACAAACAAAAACAAACAAAGCAAAACTGTGGTATGTACATATTGTGGAATAATGCTCAGCAATGAAAAGGAATGAGTCAGTGATAAATGCAACAATGGGGATGAATTTCAAAACAATTATGCTGAACAGAAGAAACTCTCGTGTTGTAGTTTAGATCTTGAATGTCCCAAAAGGCTTGGTTCCATAAGGCAGGATTGTTCAGAGGAGGAGCTTTGGGGAAGGGACTGGATCATGAGGTATTATGGTTGGGCTATGATGTGTTCCCCAAAGCTCCTGTGTTAAGACCTTTTTTTTTTTT